TGGGCCTGGGCCGCTCCTGGCTCCCCTCAGGACCTGGGTTGAACCATTGGAATTCGCCCTGCCTCACTCTCCCCCTCTGTGAAATGGGGTTACAACTTGGACTGAGGCTTTCCACTTGGGGCCATTAAGAGACCCCAGATCTCAGAATGTCAGAGCCCGAGGGAGCCCAGAGCCAGGAAACTGAGGCCTAGAGAGAGGAAGGACCTTTTGGGGCAGGGATCAGAACGTGGCTCCCTGCCTCAGGCCTGGTCCCTACAGCAGGCTCCCTTAAACACGCTCCGGCCCACTCTGCACCCTGAGCCCGGAAAACCTGAGTCACAGCTGGACCCCGGGACGGGGTTTTCCTTCTCCACTCCAGGGGCCTTTGACCCTCCTTGACCTCGGCCCCTCTGGCATGTGCCGTGATGTGGGCAGGACCACCACTGCTGCTCCGGGTGAGTGCTGGGAGACAGTCCCGTCTGTCTGTCTGTCCGTCCCGGCCTGCCCTGGGACCGAGGTCAGGAGGAAGTACTGCATCTGGCTGGCCAGAGCAGGAGTGAAGGAGGGTGGGATTGTGTGTGGCCCAGCGAGCAGTCCCGCCCTCCCTGTCCCCACCCCAAACCCTCTTAATGAAATCAAGCTGGCCCCACAGCCCAGCCGGGGAGGGAGGAGGAGGGACAGGCGGGGAGGAGGGAGGGCGCCGGCGCCAGCCCACAGCCGCCCAGGCCCCAGCGTGGACTCTCCCGGGCAGGCGCCCCCTGCTCTCGCTCCACCTGGCAGAGCACCCAGGCCTGTGCCCGGAAGAACTGGTGAGTCCTGGGGCCTCCCCTGTGTCCCAAGAGCCTGGGGCTTCTGGTGTTCAAAGGGACGCTGGGAGCACTCTGCAGGGCATCTCCGAGTGTGTGCGTCGGGGGTGAGCGGTGGGTATTGTGTGCAGGCGTGTGACGGAACGTGCGTGTGTCCCGCGAGTTCCGTGTGCGGTGCGGGGTCGGTCCAGCATTGCGTGTGTGCAGCCGGGGCCCAGGCGTGGGGGCGTGTGCTGTGCTCTGGAGGTGAGCGCCGAGTGCTGCTTCCAGGACCCGTGTGAGGGTGGTGTGGACGGTCGTGTCCCATCCGCACCGCGGTGTGTGCTGTGTGACAGTGCGTGTTCTCTGCGCGTCCGCCCCGGAGGGCCGTGTGAGCTGTCTTGGGACTGGTGTTGTGTCTATGTCGTGTGCCTGGTACCGTGTGGCCACGCAGCCACTGCTCTGTGCCCTCAGGACCCCTTCTGCTCCAGACCCTTGCAAGCGGCCCAGGTCCCTGTCCTGGGTTGGCCCCAAGGCTGGGGGTACAGCTTCAGCCAGAGCCCCTTTCCCTGCGGGGCCCCTAATTGAAGCCAGGTTTCCCTGACCGCCCCTCCCCCTCTGGCTAACAGTCTCTGCGTGGGGGTGGGGCAGCGGCTCTGCCTCACAGCCTCAGGTTTTGGGGTACCCAGACCTTAGGAGTGGGTTCGCATTGCTCTGCAATTCATGGCCACGGGTGGGCCGTGTCCCGAGCTGGCCCATCCTGGCACCCGCTGATACCTACTCTGGTGGGTCTTGTCCTCACCATATTCCTGGGGACCCAACCCTGCGCAGAGGTGGAGACCAGAGCTGGGAGAGGAGACTGCGGTGACCCGCTTGAGTGTTCCAGGCTGCCTCTGCTCAGGGCTCCCCAGGCTCCTCTCAGACGTGCTTTCAACCCCAGCCAGGCCCATCCCTGTCTCTGAGCCCGAGTGTTTTCCTGGGTGAAAGGAGAGGGGTCCCCAGCTTCTGGTCTGAGAAAGTTCGAGTTCCCCCAAAATGTAGGACCCGGGAGGCTAGGCCAGCCTCCTCCAGAAGAAAGAGCGGGTGCCTGGTGGGCAGTTACTTCAGAGCTCTCCAAGGCCACTCTACAGATGGGCGGCTGAGGCCCAGAGAGGCAGGGCGCTCGGCCAGGGTCACACAGCCCTCTCCGGAGAAGCCCCGCTGGCTCGGGCGGACTGTATCTCCACGTGTTGTGTGTACCGTTCTCAGAGAGCCAGGAGGGGCTCCAGGGTGTGGGGACCCCGAGAGTCAGCCTCTAAGGGCCAGCAGGGGCTGCTGCAGCGTCCTTGCCTGACTCTAGGCCTGATTCCAAGGCCTGGGGGCAGGAGCCTTTTCCTCCGCCCAGCTCACTGCCACACGGATGTGTGCACGTGCACGCATGTGCGTGTGTGGATGTAAGTGTACGTGTGCACACGTGTGTGGCTGGAGCTGAGGGGCTTTCATTCAATGAGGTAAAAACGTCGGGCCTTTCCTGGGAGCAGGGGAGGCCACGGAGCGAGGTTCTAATCAGGTGAGGATGAGGGTCATCCTACAGGAGCCGAGAGTGGAGAACCGGGGCTGATGCTGGGGTTCTGCCGGGCAGGAATCCCGCAGCGCCCGAATCCCACCTTTCCTGGCGAGCAGCCAGGCCTCACAGGCACTTCGGGCCCTTCTCTCAGGCAGTCAGGCCGCCCCTCATCACCTGCCCCCAGTTTATGGATGGGGAAGTGTGGCCAGAAGAGTTAGGAGCGGAACTATTGCCAGGACGGCACCGGGATTCGAACTCCGGCCTTCTCGCCAACATCTTTGACTTGTCTGTGCCGTACCTCCAGGGGGTGGGGGTCTACAGACACCAATGGTCAAAGTTGTCCTCTGGAGTGACGAGCTTCAGAGGCCACCGTTAAAGGTCTTTCCTGGGCCTGACTTGAGACAGAGGCAGAGAGGTGACAGGCAGGACGAAGACCCCAAGTTCGAAGTTGTCCGTAGGAATCTCGACTGATGAGTGGCAGGGAAGGGAGGGGTCCTGATGCTCCCTTTAGCATCTCGGACCTTGTTCTGGCTTATGACTGATGGGCTCCTGGACTCAGGCAGACCAAAGTTCAAGCCCCAGTGCTGCCACTTGGCACACGCTGTGTGTTCTTGGGCGAGTCACTGTCTCTGAACCCCTGTATTCTTCGTCTGTGGAGATAACAATAGTGCCCAGATGGGGGCTTCTGCAGGACTGAGCCCAGGAAGAGGGCTGATGAAGCCATGAGCAATTCAGGGTGAGAGCACGGGACAACCTCCGCATTTAGAACGAGCCCCCGGACTCACGAATGATTTTTTATGTCTCGCCATCTGAGCCCGTTTGTCCAGGCACGCGGCCTCTACACAGTGAATGGCCCATGGCTGGGGGGCCTCGGTTACCAGGAGCAAGCCACCGAATGGCCCAGCCTGACACCCACCACATCTCCCGAATCCTCACGTCACCCGAGTGCCGTCTGCTTTCCTGAGCAGGACCCAAGGCCTAGATCCTGGAGCTTGACCTATAGTCAAGGCCTTGGGAGCCTTGACTTAATCCTTCCAACTCAGGAACGGGCTGTGTGGCCTTGGGCCAGCCCTGGCCTTCTCCAGGCCTCTGTCTCCACATCTCAGTGCCCTGAAAGAAGCCCTCGGGCAGAGGGTCCTAAGGCTTTTCTGTTTTTGGAGCTTCTAGTCCGAACCAGGATCAGCAACCGGGACCCTCCACTAGGCTGGAGAGTTCTCGGAGAGAACCCTGGAAGACACTGCCAGAGGTCCCCGGGTCTGTCTGGGCACCAGGACCCCACTCATTCCGGCTGGGAGAATTAGTGTGTTAGAAACCGAGCTCCTTCGTAAACTCGGGCCATGAGGAATTTATTAATCAGGCGGGCTGTCTGGGCCTGATGGGGTCTGGGGGTTCATGCCGGGAGCAGCCTTCCAGCCAGGGAGGGAAGCCCGGGCTCATATGGTTCCCATTCAGTGGGGGTGGGGCGCTCTCGGCGCCAGCTTTGTCTCAGGCAGGAGGGTATCTGCCCATGGCCCTCCCGTTCCTGCTAGGGGCCTTGAGGTGAGGGGCCACCATGGGAGATGCTCTCAGGCCCCCTGGCCTCCGGATCCCCTGCCCAGCTGAGACCCTGGAGGCTTCAAAACCGAGGAAATTTCTGGAGGAGGTATAGCTAGAGTAGGGGAGGTTGGACAATTCCCAGCTTGCTGCGGGGACATGGTGGGGACGAGCCACACACCATGTGTGAGGAAGGGGCCCAAGAGGAAGGGCTACCTAAGGGGCCGGGGCGGTTGGGACGATTCCCCAGGCGCCCCCTGCCACTCACTCTCTAAGCCCTCCCATCGTTCTGGGTCCAAATCCTAGTCCTTGGCTAGTCACGTAACTCCTCTGAGCCTCACTTTTCCTCACAGGGAAATGGGGGGATCGTAGCAGCTTTCAAACCCCTGGGTGGTTATCGGGATTCGGGGAGAAATTACATATTAAAAACTTCAAACAGAGGGCCAGCAGACAGCGCCGCAGTTATGTCGCTGGACTCCCACATGGCCGACCATGGTTCGCATGCTGGAGCTGGTGGCTTAAAAATCTCACTGGGCACGTGTGCGTGAGAGCCCCAGGTCTCAGGAGGGAATGGAGGAGAAAGGATTGCAGCATGGCCATCCCTCCAGGGGGCGATTTCTCACTTGTGCTCTCACTGTCTTTGTTTTTCTCTTGCAAGTGCATGTGCCTTTTTTTTTAAAGGCAAAAAAAAAAAAAAAAAAAAAAAGAAGAAGAAGAAAGAAAGAAACTTACAACAGAAGCTAGCCCCGTAGCCTAGTGGTTAAAGGAGCCAGATCTCACGTAGCTGATCGAAAACACGCGTAGTGTGTGTGCATGTGCGCTCAAAATCCTGACAGGTTGGAGAAATGGAAAACGCATTGCAGCCAGACCACGCCCCACGGGGGGTGCTTTCTCCTTTCCCCTCCCTCCTCCTCTCCTTTATCTTCCCCTGTCTCTCTCTCTCTGTGTCTCTGTCAAGCACACATGCCCTCTAGAAATTAAAAATAACAAAACAAAAACTTGAAACAGCAGCTGGCACACGGTGTTCAATAAGTTATTATTTAAACTTTTGACTTTTTTTAGAATTATTTCTTTAATTGTATTTATCATTATTATTATTCTTTTTCAATTTCTGCTCGACAGAGAGAGACAGAGAAAGTGAGAAAGCAAGCCACTAAGTCTGGGACTCAAACCGCTGTCGGCCATGTGGGAGTCCAGCGCCTTAACCACTATGCCACATGTGGGCCCAGGATTGTTGATTCAGCCGTCAGTCAAGGCACATTTCTTGAGCTCTGTCTGTATACCCCATACCAGAGGCAGCACAAACCCCGAGGATGGTGAGATAAATAAGATTCTAGCCCTGCCCTCCAGGACCGCAGAGGGAAGTGGGGGGCAGCCCAGCACCCACTTTATGAACGGCCACATTGTGCGATGGGACTTGGGCATGGAGGGGACCCGCTGCTGGGGTGTGCTGTGTTCCCCACACCTCTTTGGGGTGCCCACAATCTCGGGACCCTGACTCCTCTCCTCCCTCGTCTCCAGCAGGTCCGGGGGTGCCATGATCTCGGCGATGGCCCCCAGCATCCTCCTCTCTCTGCTGCTGCTCCTGAGGCCCGCGCCCGCGGGGGCGCACTCCGTGGCCCTGGAGGCCACCTTCCTGGAGGACGTGGTGGGCAGCGGGGAGGCCGAGGGCTCGTCGGCCGCCTCCTCCAGCCTCCCGCCACCGCAGACCCCGGCCTTCAGCCCCACGCCCGGGGGGGCCCAGCCCACGCCCCTGGAGGGCCCCTCGCGCCCCACCAACTTCCTGGACGGGATCGTGGACTTCTTCCGCCAGTACGTGCTGCTGATCGCCGTGGTGGGCTCGCTGGCTTTCCTGCTCATGTTCATCGTGTGCGCCGCGCTCATCACGCGCCAGAAGCACAAGGCCTCGGCCTACTACCCGTCCTCCTTCCCCAAGAAGAAGTACGTGGACCAGAGCGATCGCGCCGGGGGGCCCCGCGCCTTCAGCGAGGTCCCCGACAGGCCTGCGGCCGACCGCCCCGACGAGGCTCTGGACTCCTCCCAGCAGCTCCAGGCTGACATCCTGGCGGCCACCCAGAACCTCAAGTCTCCCTCGAGGGCTGCCCAGGGCAGCGGGGACGCCGCCAGGGTGGAGGGGGCTGAGGAGCAGGGCGACACGGAGGTGGACCAGGAAGCCCAGGGCCCCGGGGTCCCAGCTGAGAAGCCGCAGGAGGAGCCGTGCTCAGTGGTGGCCGAGGTGGCTCTGGCAGCCTGTGAAGGGGAGCCAGAAGGGTCTGTCTCACCAGCCCAGGGACAAGCAGATCCCCCAGAAAGTCCCTGTGCTTGTGGCAGTGTCTCCCCCAGCGAGTAACAGCCCTCCAGGGCTGCTGGCCCTGACTGTCGGACCCCAAAGTGGCCACCTCCTTGGGCCTGAAAAGGCCCCCAGTCCTGACTGCTTTCCAACACTCCCTCCTTGGCCACCGCAGGGTGATGGTCTCATGGCTCTCAGGGCCACCCCAGAAATCTCATATGACGTTCCAAGAACGTCTGCCTCTGCAGTCCCAAAGGGCCACACCCCAAAGCGCAGCCAGCCTGGGAAGCCGAGGGGGAACTGTCCCCAGGAGAGCCACCATCAAAGGCCCATGAAATCAGCCACTTGGGTGAGGAAATTTCTGCTGCAGGTCCCTGGTGACAGGGCGAGGTGGCAAAGAAACATGGGATGACCCGGCATTTTGGAGGGCCACCCGTGGGAGACGCAGAGGTACCAGGGTGGGCGGAGCAAAACTCAGCCTGGCGTCCAGTGGGGCGTGGGAGCTGCAGGTGGTGCGTCCCCTCACATCCAAATATTTTGAGGTTTTTCTGCCTCTGCTTTGAGCCACAGGACCAGGGAAAACCTCTGGGAGGCGCCCGTACGTATCTCGTGACCAGTCCCTAGAGGAGCGTTTCCCAAACTGGGTTCCTCACGGTCCCCTGGGGCAACGTGATTCTGGGGTCAGATGAGTTGAGGAAACACTGCCTGTCGATCCACCCCCTGCACCAGGGCTCCGACAGGCCCCGTGGTACAGACCCCTGTTGAATTTGGTCTCCTTTAGCCTTTTCCAAACTTCTTTTGACCATGGAGTACTTTTGAAAAATTGTACAGCTCTGAACAAAAAGTCTTGCAGTGCTCCTGCTG